TGTGGGTAGGCGATTTATAAGGTAGTTGGCGGTAGCAAGTGCTTCAACCCAAAAGGAGACAGGAAGGTGGGAATCGTAGAGTAAAGCAATGACAGTCTCAATGAGATGCCGATGCTTGCGTTCAGCCACACCATTCTGTTCAGGAGTGTAAGGGCAGGACGTGTGATGCAGAATCCCAAGATTTTGAAGAAAAATGCCAAAGGCTGTATTTACAAATTCTTTCCCATTATCACTTCTAAAAATCTGAATATTTGAATTAAATTGAGTTTTAACCATTTTTTCAAAACTAGTGAAAACAGAGTAAGCTTCAGATTTGTGTTTAAGAGGATAAATCCAAGTAAATTTACTAAAATCATCAACAAAGCAGATATAGAAACGAAAACCAGAGATAGATGGAACAGAGGTTGGTCCCCAAACATCAGAATGAATTAGTTGAAAAGGCGATGTGGCCTTATGTTCAGAGAGTTCAAAGGATAAACGACAAGACTTAGACACATGACAGGACTCACAATGTAAGTGATTAGAAAATTTAAACCCTAAAGTAGACAAAATAGACTTGGCAACAACAGGAGCCGGATGTCCAAGCCGGCGATGCCAGGTGGATGCAATGACAGCTTGACGCACAACAGGGATAGGCTTGGAAGGAAGGGTATAGAGACCATGCTCACAGGGGCCCGTGTACCGCACCAGATTCGTATCGTTGTCCACTATCTGAAAGGAGTTGGCATTAAAAATAAGAGTGCAATTATTATCTTTGGTAAAGCGGTGAACGGACAGTAAGTTTGAAGTAAGGGAGGGAACATGATTAAGGGAGTGGAGGTGAAATTTACCATTCGGGGTGTGAATTGAGCCTGAACCTGTGTGAGTGATGGGTAAGGTATGACCATTACCTACAGTAATAGTTTCAGTGCCATGGTAGGGAGTCGGAGTTTGCAGCCTGAACCTGTGTGAGTGATGGGTAAGGTATGACCATTACCAGTTTGGTTGCTTGTGGTTGCATGCATAACACGAGAATTGGTAGCCGAGTTGCTCTCAGTAGAAGAATCATCATAGCGGTACCAGCAGGTAGCAGCAGAGTGGCCACGCTTTGAACAGATCTGACATACTAGAAGATCGCGTGAAGGTTCGCGGCCTCCCCCCCTTCCGTAGCTTCGACCGCAGCAAAGTGGCCATGTTGAAATATTGGAATAATAATATTGCTCCTTGAATTACGAAGTACATGATAGAGTATATATAGAAGAGATTCCTAACACAACTAGGAATAGAGAATAGAGACTAACTAAAATACAACATATACTACAAATAAGATTAGGAAGCTGACTAATAATGAAACACTACCATAACCAATACTACCAGAAGTAATATTAGTATTATTGTCTAACAAATAAATGTTTTAAAAATTTGATATATCAAAAAAACTATGTCCTAAGATGAACCTAATTATTTTTTATTTATATTATAGTTCGATATAATTTACTCACAATTTATGGTTAATGGGTATCATTATTTGACTAAAAAAATGAATGCAGGAAAAGTTTTTTGGAATGAGGGAGTAAAAAAGTACTCCCTCAGTTCCACAAAACTCTTCCTCTTTCGTTTTTTTTGCTTTCCACAAAACACTTTCACTTTCTATTAAAAACCCACTTTTACCCCTACTTTTTCATACCCTACCTATCACATCTTACTTTTTCACTAATAACCAAACTATCACATCTTACTTTTTCTCATCCAAAATTGGAAAGTCAACCAAAATTTTACTTTCCTTATTTTTCTCCAAAGTCAAAACCGGAAGGATTTTGTGGAACGGAGGGAGTAATATCTAGTGTTTCACTCTAGAAAAAATATACGAAAAAAGTAGTACCAAAATTTTAATGATTAAAAGAAAAAACCATAGAATCGCTTTTGAAATATAAGTTTTTATGTTGTATAGAAAACCTATATGGTATTGCCAAAACAATTTACAATAGTTTTATTTTGGAAAAAATGTTTTCCCGATTCCAAACTAAATAAACTTGACTCCCTCGACAAAGGCGAAGCAGAGAAACAAAAGATTCCGAGGCGGTCCATGGATGATATCAGCTTCTTAACTTTAACAAGTCTAGAGATTTCAGCAATTCGGGGGTTTGGTCCCTAAAAGTTGGTTATGCGTTTAATTGCCTAAAAGGCAGTGGTTATTTTTCAGAGAAATTCAAAGGAAAAGGACTAAATTAGGAGTAAAACATATATCATATCCCTAAAATAAGAGTTGAAACTTAAACTCACCTAGCAGTAATTAACTTAATTAATCTAATTAATTAGCTTGTCCAATAGTTAAAAAAAGAAACACAAAGTAGGAGGAATCATCAGCGGAGAAGGTTGTGAACGTTTGGTTACATGAAGCCATTATGGACATGCAACACTTCCATAATATTTCTAGATTTTGTAACTTCTCATAGACATAACAGTAGTGTATACATTTTCTTCTTCTTCTATTTTTTTGAAATATTTTTAGTTATATATATAGACACACACACACACACACACATATATATATACATATACTGTTACAGATGGTATGCCTACACCACATGTAGCCGCACGACCAAAACAGACGAGGAGGCGTCCTAGACGATTTGATGATTTTGTTTGATGTTATTATTCATTATTATTGATTTATTATTGTACGATAGATTTTCTTAGGAGGGCGTAATATAAGCCCCTTCAAGGGTTTTCTTTTCGGTTCTTTCCCTTGACGCCTTTATTGAACCGACAGGTTAGATAATATGATTGTTCGGTGACCTCCTTTAACTATAAATAGGGGTAACTTAGTTTTGGGAAGATAAGCAATCATTAATCTTGAAACTCCTCTCTCTTCCTCTTCCCCTCTCTTTCCCTCTTTCCCCTGCCGTACGTTACCGTAGGGTAACAATTGGTGCTTCCATTTCGACCTCAACATACGATGGCTTCCGATGCCGGCAAGCACCCGGAGACTCCATTACCGGTTACAACAATCATGCAAGCCATTCAAAACCTTGGCTTGGAGTTGAACAACACTAATAAGCGTCTGGATGCGTTGGCTAGCAAGATCAGCAGCGACGATAAGGGGTCTCACAGCCATAAACATACCTCTCTAGAAGGCCGGTGGCAACCTCCACCCTCACGCACAACTGGTCGCGGCGATTCAAATGACCGGCAGCCACACTTACGGATCGATCCTCCACACTTCAACGGCGAGGACCCGGTGGGTTGGATATTCCGGATACAACAATACTTTGACTATTTCACGACGTCCGAACCCGAACGTCTACAGTTGGTGGGTATGTTTATTGATCATCCGGCGTCAGAATGGTATCGTTATTATTTGACAAATTCTTGTGGCGGCACGTGGGTAGAATTCTTACAGGCGGTAAAACAGCGCCTTGATCCCGATCATTATGCTGATTACGTAAGTATGCTCTCCCGATACAACAACAAACTTCCGTTATGGCGTATCAGTCGTCGTTTGAAAGCTTGCTTAATAAAGTATCGGGGATTCCAGAGTCTACTCTAATTTCTATGTATAAGGGTGGTCTCAAGCAACCTCTTCAACGGGAGATCAATCTCTGTAATCCAGGGACGTTGGCTGAAACCTTCGCGTTAGCTCGTGAATTTGCAGCGTGCACGTCGCCCGCTGGTCCAGTAAAACGCAGTTGGCAGTCGAACACGAGGGGCGTAACCTCTCAGCCGCAGGTCTCTTCTCTGGAAAACAGCGGCGCTAAACCTACTTCCTCCTTACCTATTGTTCGGCTTACACCGACCGAAAAGGAAAAACGTACACGCAAAGGGGTGTGCTAAAATTGTGAGGAAAAGTATGTGCCGAGACATCGTTGTGCACATAAGTTTTTGGCCTTATTGGGAACAGACGATGAAGAACCAACGGGTATTGCTGTTCCAGTTGATATGGAGGACAGTACCATCATTACGGGTGATGTTTCGAGTATTCACACGATGTCGGGTTTTCCCAATCCGCGCTCTCTTCGCCTTGCAGGTTCCATTAACGGATTGGCTATTCAAGTCCTAATCGATGGGGGGTGCACTCATAATTTCATTCATCCAACCCATGCGGAGCGCCTATGTCTGATTTTGCATCCCGTGACACCATTCCGGGTTTATGTAGGGAATGGTGATTCACTACTGTGTTCTTATTATTGCCCAAAGAGCCCGCTTATTTTACAAGGTCACAAGTTTGAAGTGGATTTGTATTTACTTCCGGTCCATGGGCCCGATGTTGTGCTCCGCGTTCAATGGCTCCAAGGGTTGGGCAAAGTTTCTCACGATTATTCGGCGATGACTATAGAGTTCAACCGGAACAATACTTTGGTGGTTTTGAAGGGGGGCATAACTCAACCCAAGTCCTTGTCCTTCTTGGCTTTTCAAGCATTCACTGCTTCGGAACCGGAGTTTGATCTGTATGAGTTATTTACTATGCATGGGAGTGATCCAGACCCCATGTTCTTCCAGGCAGACCTGCCCGAAGTTCCCACAGTCATCAGCCGAGTCCTCCTCTAGTATGCTGAGGTGTTTCGGCTTCCTTCGGGTCTACTGCCGCTGCGCATATAGGACCATCAGATTCACCTTTACCCGGGGACGAAGCCTATTAATGTTCGGCCTTATCGATATCCATATTTTCAGAAAGGTGAGATTGAGCGTCAGGTTCGTGACATGTTACAGCAGGGGATTATTCAACCAAGCCAAAGTCCTTTTTCATCACCGGTGTTGCTTGTGCGCAAGAAAGACGGTACTTTCCGTTTTTGTGTTGATTATCGAGCCTTGAATACGGCCACAGTTCCAGACCATTTTCCAATCCCTACAACCAAAGAACTTTTTGATGAACTTGGGGCGGCTTGATTTTCCACGAAGTTGGATCTTCGCTCTGGGTATCACCAGATACGTATGCACCATGAGGATATCCCGAAGACCGCGTTTCGAACGCATAATGGCCACTTTGAATTCTTGGTGATGCCGTTCGGCCTCACGAATGCCCCTTCCACTTTCCAGGCAGCTATGAACCATTTATTTCAGCCATATTTACGTCAATTTGTCATAGTTTTTTTGATGACATATTGGTGTACACCTCTTCCTTGGAGGATCATGCGTTCCATCTCGAAGCTACACTCTGGTTGCTATTGGACAAGTATTTTTATGTTAAACTTTCCAAGTGTTTGTTTTGTCGAACCACCATTGAGTATTTGGGTCACCTCATCTCGGACGGCGTCTTGAAGGCTGACTCGTCCAAATTGGAGGCCATGGCCGCATGGCCAACTCCATCCTGTGTCAAACAGTTACGGGCATTTTTGGGACTTATCGGCTATTATCGGCATTTTATTAAGGTTTATGCTTCCTTGGCTGCTCCGCTGACCAATCTACTCAAACGCGATGCGTTTTGTTGGACGCCAGAAGTCGATACTGCTTTTCAAGCCCTAAAGGAAGTCATGACCAAAACACCCGTGCTCCATTTGTCGGATTTTTCCTTGCCGTTCGTGGTGGAAACGGACACATCTACCGATGGCATAGGGGCTGTTTTGATACAGGCAGGCCACCCCATTGCATTCTTCAGCAAGAAGTTAGGACCCCGCCGTCGTCCCTCGTCCACGTATCACAAGGAACTCTATGCAATTGTCGAGGCAGTCCAAAAGTGGCGGCAATACTTGTTAGGGCGCAAGTTCATCATCCGGAGTGACCAAAAGAGTTTAAAGGAATTACTTCTTCAAATTATCCAAACGCTTGACCAGGAGTTCTATATGCGGAAATTAATGGGATTCAAATTTAAAATCGAATATAAGCCAGGCAGTGCCAACCGTGTTTCTGATGCTCTCTCCAGGCAGGAAGAGACGTCCTCCGA